ACAAAGACAGAGAAAAGTATATTAAAAATACCTAAACCCTGAAACACAAACTGTGAAAGCGATGTGTACTGAACAAATTGAAAGTACAGATACTTCTACTTTTTGCCTCGAGAAACCTACTACAAATGCAGTACAGATAAACTTCCTATTTTAAAACTTAGTATGTTCTTTTTGCACCAAACAGAAACAATCTTATATTTCCTTACTCAGTAATTAACCCATTCTTAACTTTGCAGAAGTTGTACTGTAAATGAACAATAAGAATGTCTTGTTTTTAGTGTTAAATGGCACTGGAAGAGAAAGAACAGCAAACATCTCCCAGCTAGTGCAGACATTCTGACTTCCAGATTACAGCACATTGCTTTGCTTCCTCCAAATCCTGTTTACATGAGCAAGGTCAGGGGATGAAACACTGGAGAGCCTCTACAGTGATTTCCTGCTTCTGTCAGTAAAAACTACAGAGACACCATCAACTTTCCCTTGTTTCCAACAGCTTATCAAGGACCGGAGGTCCTTGCAGAATTGCCTTACAGAATTGAAAAGACCCAACATCCCTCATGACAAAAACTAAAATTGAAGGATGAAACAGAAAGAAGTAGTCCCAAAGAGAAACAAAACTTCCAATTTTTCCTTTTCAATAGTTCAGAAACAAAGGCAATGTGAGGTTCTTTGACACATGGAGGAGTGGGAGAGGGGCAGTAATGCTTTCAGAGTCCTCAATGAAATAGAAAGGAGAAAGAAGCACCACCCCCAGCCCCCAAATTTGACCCCAATTTAGTGAACATTTTCAGAGTGCAAAAGGCTAGAACACACCTAATTTCTAGTAACTGCAACATATGAGGACTCTTATCATTGAAAAAGTCAGGACATTACACAAGTACCAGTTCGTTAGGCATTCACAGCTAATTTTTACAGTACTTTCAATAATACACAGGAGAACTGAATAAATGAATCATCAAATCCAAAGCTATTTCCTAACCATAATACACAGGAATTCTTAATGGTTTTGTAATTGTAGCCCAAAAGAAAGCAATTCCATACTGAAGATTTCACTGAAATTTTTCCACTGACACAAGAATCATACTCCTTTCACTGAGTTTACAAAAGAAGTTGCATCAATATGAGCCTTAGATGAAAAAAGATTTTTCACCATGTTAAAAACAACTGGCTTTAGTACTAAGCTAGAAAAGAAGCTGAAAAGATAAGGTGTTTACAAGTCAGGCAGTTTAATAATGTAAGTGTTTTTAGGAAAATCTGTATAAGAACATTCATATCTGCCTATCTCAGCTTAACCGCTGAAGCAAGAAAATACAACTAAATTAAAAAAAGAACACAAAAGTAGGCATTTTAAGTGTGGAAGCTGTGATAGACTGTTGGTTTTGATGAAGCAATAAATTAAAATTCCTTGAAAAAAGGAGAAGTAGGAGGAAGAGATAATACTAGTATTTTCTTAGATAGCTACAGCTCAAAATAAATGAACTGCTAAGAAAATATCTATTTTAAATTCACAATAAAGAATCAAGAATGTTATATTTTTAAATATCTGTTTTAAAAATCTTCTCTAGGCAGACTGTTGTCAAGAATAGATGATGGTGCTACTTTGTTGCACCCTAATTATCTAGAGTAGTGTGTCCTCTTTTGGGCTTCTTGGTCCCAGATAGACACTGACATCCTGGAGCAAGTCAAGAGTGAACAAGATAGCAAAGGGGCTGGAACATGATATGGAATGGAGAAAAGACAGAGAACCAGGTTTGTTCTCTGGAAGAAAAAATACAGGGAAATCTTGCTGCCATCTCAGATATCTAATGGGTAGATAGAAAGAAGACAGACACACACATATTAGAGGACTGCTATGAATTGAAGGCAACAGACATGCTGGAACATAGGATATTCTAGTTACATATTATGGAAAAAAATAATTTCACCAACCAAATACTAGAGTAAGCTGCCCAGAAAGGTGGTGGAATCTCTATCCTTACACATTATTAACAAATTAACTGGACAAGGCTTATATGAACCTGATCTAAGCTGACCTTGCTTTAAGGGGAAGGTTAGATGAAATGACCCCAGACATCCCTCTCCACATATACTATATCACTTTTATTAACAAATCTTCACAGAAGGAAGAACAAGGAAAAACCTTTTTGCTCTGTCACAAATCATCTTAGGGACAGTAATAATATATTTCCCATAAAGGAATAGGACATCATACAATGGCAGCTGAAGAAAAAGATTCTCAGTAAGAAGAGCACTTTCTCCTATTCTCCTTTCTTCTGGACTAGACTGAAACCTACAGAAGTTTTTAACCACTTACTGTCAGGAATGCTGGTAGTTATTCAACAAAAAATTACAAGGTTTTGCATAGACTTCCAACCTTCCTGAAGGCATTTCAAGGACCTTTAAGAAACTCATCAGATATCCTAAAAAAGCTTCAATGTTGTTACCCACCCCAAAGAAAGGCTGTATTTAAAGACCTGCATTTTCGTGGATCACTGTCTCAAGTATCTCTCTCCTTAAGCAGAAAAATTAAAGTAAATATGGTTGATTAGCTACTTCCAGTGGACTAGGGACTTGCCAACGTGTTTTGTAAATAACCCTTAAGATCCTGCTGTGCTGCATGCGTGATAAACACATTAAACAAGAATGCATAAAGACATCTAAATGCAGACTGCTTTTTTTTCTCTGCACATATCAGAAGGGCAGAAGAACTCCCTAAGGCAGAGCCTTAAAAGAATAAGTAGGTATAGATAGGACACGTGTAAATTAACCAAACAATCTGATCAAAGACTTTTGTTATTTGAACAGCATTCTTTCAGTCGAAATAATGCCAAAAAGGCATAAACAGATTTAAAATGGGTCTTGAAATGTTTGCAGGAGAAAAAAATGCACAGTGATGTCTTTGACAGCCAGTAGAAAAAGAGCAACTCATTGAGACTGGAATCAGGGATACGTATGAGGTAGGATGATGAATTAGACTAGAACTAGAGGATGGCTACCTCAAGTTGAAAAAGGACTAAGGAAAAAAAAAATACAAATAATGCACAAAAGCAGCATCATTCAATTGAGGACAAACTGGATTAAGAGGAAATCTGTCAGTGAAGGTGTGATAGAAATAAAGGCAGCATCTGCCCTTTTCTCCTTGTTTCTTATGAAGAACACATCAAGCCTGTATTAGACAGAGTCTCCATACATTAGGGAAACTGAGAAAGCTTCAGATAAAAAGGTCCAAGTCACTGAGATCTAGAACCCTCTAGAAACAAGACACAAAGAGTCTAGGTAGCTGGCCTGATTAAGAAATGGGTGATAATTCCACAAATGACAGAAGCTGGTTATGTGACAGACAGACACTGGACAGGAAGATGATACAAAAGGATGAGCTGACACTAGAAAGCAGGGAGGACCAAATTGGTTTGGCAAAGTTGGAGAAAGTGTTATTTCACTACAGGAGAGGAAGGATATTACTGGCAAAGAAAACATGCAAATGATTCCTGAATTTGTGTGAACAGTGTGGCAGGGTTAGGGTTAACCTGTGTTGAACAGGACAGTTGCCCTTAATGCTACAGTCCAAATAACAAGGTTATAGAAGTGTTTCTAGATGGAAAAAGACTCAGATGGGGAATGCTGAAATGCAACAGTTGCGAGAACCAATGATAACTGGTAGATTGAGATGCTGGGGGAAAAAATAATAGTGATTACTGACACAGTCAAAAAGCATAAATTCTGAGGCAACATTTTTATATTGAAGATTGTAAAGCCAGCCAGCCAGCAGTCAAAAAATGCTATACTTCTTGGATCAATGTACTCCTCTGAGTTCTGGACATAAAGTTTTATAAGCTGCATTCATAGCCGAAGAATTAATGGAGACTAAGTGATTTGTAGGTATGTAATAAAGAATTACAGTGCAACCATACATTTGAACTCTGTGATGAACAGATTAAGTAATAAACACAGAGTACTTAAAAGTGATAGGTAGTCAATAAATTATATCTACCATAATCCACTGTGAAGCCTACTAAACAGATGCATGTAAGTCTACAAAGAACCATATTTCCATTATGAAGACACGACACAACTGATAAATCGTTAAATACATAACATTATCACCTCTCAAATACAAGTGATTATATGATTATTGTTTTGAAGTTAAGGTTTCTCATCAACCTGTGCATCACGGGCTTCAAAAATGATCTTGAAGAATTCTATATAGTAACTTCACAACATAGCTTTCACAAAGCATTCATGACAAAAACAGCAGACAACACACCTGATGCCTTTTCCTAGGTATTAACCCCCCAGCCACACAAACATTTTATGGTAACTAAAATTGCTCAAGACAGTTTGTGCCTTCACAGGAACAGATTCAGAGCTAAAAGAAAAATTCTCATTTTAACCTAATTCTAGAACAGCATGTCTTTTAGATTTCCTACCAGGAAAGCATATTTCTCCTCCCACGAAACTGCCACCTAAAACATTGCCTTCCTCTCCTCCCACACGCCATACCAATGTCATATGTAAAGCCAACACTAGAAGACTCTAATCCTATCACTGTCTTAAAATGCATTACTTTCTTTTTTTCCTTCTAGGGAACTATTATATGCCTTAAAAGGAGAAATAATAAAACATCACTTTTAGAATTGCATCAGTGAGACAATGATTCTTTAAGTTTACCATTATTTGCAGATAAAGACAGTTACAAGAAGTGTTTGAGAATAAGCCATAAATTTTAACACTAATTATAAATAGAATTTGTGCTTAGTATAGTGGGAAAATTGCAGGCATAAAAGGAAAGCTTTGCTATTACACCATCTACTGGTTAGACTTGGGAACTGTGACAGAAGGTTTAAGTTGAGAATTTAGGATATTGAGCTTTGAGCACTCAACAATTGCTAAGAAATCTATTTCATTCTTAGGGACAGTAAAAGCACATTTCTGGAACATGTTAGCTATACCTTACCCTTTTTCTATTTTTCTTTTTTTCTTTTTTTTTTAAAGCAACTTACAGGAGTACTGATATATGAAGACGTTCTAATATCGATGATAACTGGGTCAGGTGTTTGTATATCAGGCACATCAGAGATAGGGCTGACCTGTTGAAAATGAATTATATCATTATTTCAGCACCAACAGAGAAAAGGAAATAAGACTGAAATAAAAAGTGAGAACACACTTAGCAGCCCAGATCAATTAGTTCCCAAACCCTATTCAAGTTCATTAAGTCATCCATTACTAACAGACTGTCAATATGCTTACTTCTTCTGTACCAACTCTGATTGCCAAAATAAATTTGAAAGCACTTCTGTGGAAAATAAGTGGTAGCTAACAGTGAAATCTGTGATATGGTAACAGATCAAAGACAAAAGATGTTGCTCCTGAAACCACAGGAAAAACTGCTTTATAATGGGACAATGTCAGAGGCTGATTGATCAGATAGAATGACAGATGACAGAAAAGTCATCACAGTATCTGCAATTGTGCTCTTAATATCACAGTTACTACTTGCTTATTTTTGGCTATATGAGTTCATCTATAACTTTAGCAATATTTTGCTAATGTCCTTTCCTGAGAAAGTGAAGCATTAAGAAAGTACCAGAGAATATGAAATTTGAGAAAGCTACTGCTTTTATCTTATGGTTTCACCTAAGGATCAGAATAACCTCCCTATAAAAATCTGTGTGCATATTATCCCTACCATTATATTATCTAGGTGTATCACAGCCTAAGATGTTTGCCTTCTCAGTGTGATGCATGGAAGTACTATTCTTATTATTTTATGAACTGGCAAAATTTACAGAAAGACTAGATGACTTTCAAATCATCAAGAGTCTGATGCAGTAGCATCAGTAATCCAGAGACACTATTAATTCCAACCACCTTATTGAAAGCAGAAAAAAAATCTCAGAACGGCCAAAACTCTCACTTGCCTAGTGACAGGGTTTAGTTGCTGAAAGTTTCTTAGGTACAAGGGTCATTTTATTTTGACTTCTCAAGAGGGAGATCCTACTATTTCACCTGAAGACTGTCAAAACCCTGGCTCAGCCAGAGCTGTAACTGCTCTCAGTAACTCAGTAACTGCTTCTGTGCTATTTCCACAAGGAAAAATCCCTGATGCTAGGGTCCATACATTGGTATAAAGACCTTTAAGTCAGAGACGTGTTTGTTAAGTAGCTAGAATGCAATCTTACATCTGGAATTAATAGCCAGGGAAGGAGGGCAGCAACACCTTGTACTGCCTGAAGACTTTTCATTCAGTTTATTTAGATTTCCATAACTTACATGCAGAAATCTAGGCAAAAATTAATAGAAACAAGATCTCCCTCAGTAAATACAAGTGAAGAAGATGGATGCAGTTTACTAGCAAGCTAGAAGGTAAAGAAATATTTTAAAAAGATATTACCTGATTATTCAAAGTAAAAGTGATTCTTACACTTTGCAGCACTTATAAATCAGAGATGACAAATCTTCCTTAAGGTGAGATCTTAAAGCTAGTTCACTTCTCTGAGTAGCAGTGCTTAGTTCTTTCTTTTATTCAGTTTCAATAAGCCGTTTCTTCTTCATCTATGATCTTTTTTTTTTTGTCTTCCAATTACAAGTGTATCAGTCAAGAATGGGCAGGGACACAGGGACAATCAAGAAAACCCATTCAACTACATGGTCATAAAAGCTGAACACTTAAAATTCTCCCTCATTTGTAGATATTAGGATCACGTCTTGCTTTCTTCCAATTTTGTTAAATAGACTTGGAGGAAAGAAAGGGAGAGAGGAGAACCAAAGCCAGGTAACACGGTCTATGTAATACCCTTCTAGTTAGCTGAAAATTCTACCATTTTAACTGGACTCCTCCTTTAGCATTTTCTCTGCAGAAACATGATTAATGAAAACCTCCTTTGAATACAGCATTGCTTACCACTTTTTCACTGCTAAGGTGAGCAGGAGAGGAACTGCAAATTTTACTGTTTTGCCTCTACACATATTATGTCTATTGAGATTACACAGGCCACTGCCTACAGCGTTTACATTTGTTCAGTGCCCAGGATAATCAGGGTCAGTTGCTTCTGACATTGTTAGCCATACAATAAATATAATTAATGTATTATCCAAGTGCCAGTCATAATAGGGGCAGGTAAGACTGAAGTCATTTTCTGACATGCATCATTTGGGCACTGAAGAGAGGACAATGCATCTGCAGGACTGTGCAGAAGAGGGACAGTAGATGCCTACTACCTATCAGTACTCTAATGTGGAGTATTCTACTGTATTATTATCACTAATAGCTCTTGAAACATCTTTGAGATACTGTTTCTTTATTGCATACATTGGAGATATTGCAGAATAAGTTAAATTCTTGATACATGTTGGTAAATAAACACATGGTATTATTAAGTTTCAAAAAATGTTCTTTTCGTACAAGTGTCACATCCTGAAGCTAGAATGAAAGTTCCTCTGAGTATACTTCTGCTTATTGCTTTACCAGTGATAAGGGGAGGATGAGGACTACTGTAAACACTGACTGGGGGTGGAGGAACTAAAATAATTAAATATAAAATTATTAAGCAACTAGTCAGAAATAACATCTAAAAGGTGTTTAAAAATGCACAAAAATATAAAGGCTGTATCTAAGTCCTTCATAAAATATTAGTGTTTAATATTGCACTAAAAATGAATGAGGTAATGGAATTAAGCTAGGTGTAAAAGTTTCAAATTACTTGACATTTCCTGACAAGGTGATGTGGTTAGCTGTAAAATAATCTTACCAAGGGAAATCTTCAAGGTTTTCTGTCTTGGTTCTTAAACAAGACAGAAAAACCAGAGCACTAAAATGCAAGGCAGGGAGTATTGTCACATATTACAGGTTTTCAAAAACACTTTTTCAAAGCCTTGCATTCATTTCCTGGTAAACTGGTACAGAAATATTTTCAATATAATTTTCTGACATGATAATACAATTAGCACCTTTTGATCCATAATACAATAAAATATATTTGAAGGGAAGGTTTCTACAGAATCTTCCATGAATTACAAAAATAAAGTTAATAAAATTAAAAGAGGAAGTTTTAAATTACTCATAAAGGATTTATATAGGAAAGTGATTTAGCTACTTGTGAAATAGTCTCTCCAAACACAACAAGAGAAAATTAGCTCTCAATTTGATTAAACACTGTTCTTTGTTCTAAACTGGGGCCCTCAAGCCAAGCAAGCCATATAATCTTTTTTCCTACTGCCACCTAGTGTATATTTGAATTTCCCTCATCGGAGAAAATATTTGCAACTGAAAATACACTGAAAATTTTAAGATTAAATTAAATCAGAAGAAATAAACTCTATGCACCTTAATATGTTCAAACCTCAAAGCTGTTTTGAAAGAAATTAATCTATTTTAAAGAAGTCTTTAGCACATGAAAGGTCAGTTATATACAAACATGGCAAATTCAGAAATACAATTCTCACCAAGTGGAATGCAGTTTTTAGTATATTTCACTAAAATGGCATAACTGATTAAACTACTATTTTCAAATAGCTCCACAAGGTCTTTATGTTAAAAAGAGACAACAACTGGGATTTATCTCAGCTAAATTTAGACATACTGCTAGACACCTGCATTTAAGCTGGTAATCACCTAAGATTACCTCTGTGACCAACAGAAAAAAATAGGCGCCTTTAGAGAACAAATAAGTTATTTACATTTCCAAGTTGTCTGAAAAATTGAAATAATTTAAGCATTAAAACTCTACTTACTCGAATATTCAAGAATCACACTGATGAGTGCAGTTGGACAACAGTTATAAAGTTTTACAACTCAAGAATATGAAATTCAACACTGTATTAAAATTCAGGCTACTGGACTGAGGAGAAGACAAAACTAATGATTTTCTTGTAAAAGTTAATTATGCCTCAAAAATAGCTAGGCAGAATGAAAATAAAATAGGGAAGGTATCTGAAATATTCCTGGTTCAATGTATAGCTTTGAAGAGTAAATAAGAAAAAGTAATCAGAAAAGGCAAAATACAATCAAGCTTTTTCTTTCTGTCACTATCCTGAAGGCAAAACACCAGATGACACCTGCAATTCTTAACACCCTTGTGCCATCTGCTTTATTCAAAACCACATAAATGCAGACATAAGGCTAAGTTAAATCTGTCAAAGCTAATAAATAATAATAAATAATTTCTAATAAATAATTTCTTAACAACTACTGAATTTCCTTCATGAGCCTTTTCAGTATTGATAATGAGGCTTCCTAGCCTTGGTTTAACCTTAGCCTGAACTCATTAATGCTTTTCCAGAGCTTCTCAATTACCCAGGACCAGGAACAAGAAAAAATAATTTGAGAAATTGGTTTAGAGTATATTCACATCTTTGCCAGGCATGTAAACAGCAGAGAGGTCTGGAAGTGTTGATCTGAAAAGAAGACAATAGACCCCTGCAGCTATAAGCCACTGTATTTGTTTAGTACATATTATAACTGGTGCAATTTGAATGGTCTTGAAGCAAAATGTTGCTCCAGCAAGACTGGCTTCAATCTGCTGGCAAATGCTGTGATTAAGTTTGTTCTGGCACTGACCAACTATACTAAAGGCTGGTGCCAGTAAACTCAACTTCATTCATTTACTCTACAACAAATACCCAAGTGCAGCATGGAAGTTTGTTTATGAAGCTTTTGGTCAGAACAGGATGCAGTCATCCTGTTCTGACCAAAATGCTAAGCATTAGAAAGCTTCACATCTGACAATAGAACCAGGCACAGAAGAAATCTTTGTCATTCATTTTGTCAGAGTTCTCTTCCCCCAGCAAATGTTCTCAATCTTTATACTACTCATTTGCATGTATTCATATTGAAAAAACACCCACCCACCCACAAAAAAGCTCAATATCCCCAAATGTCAATGTTTTAATACTCGGAGTATGAAATAAATGCCATGGCAGCAGTATCTACATTTTCAATGTAGGCAACGAGGCAATAGTGAACTTCTATAGTACTCTGGTAGCGTATTACAGCAATCAGAAAGTTCTAGATTTATCTCAGGTAAGTTCTTCAACACTAGAGGAACCTGGAGACTATCAAGAAAGAGAAGAAAATGTAGGTAATCGCCATGCAGAAGCCGTCCAGCTCTATCAGAGACTGTCACAAATAAAGTGTAAACAATGGCCTCATTGAAGGCATAGCATTGGTTACCTATTGAGCATAATCTTCAGACTGTTTGACAAGCACAAGATTTCTTCTAATACTGACACAGAACATTTAACATTGCACTTTGATTTCCTAATTTCCAACACTTTCATTGGATGCCAGTAGACAGTTTGACAGTAAAGTAGTTCAAGAATGAAATACCAGGAAATCAGACTACATAGTACTGTAAAACACACTTGCTAGCCTAGAAAGTCTTTTAGATAAATATCAAGACCTTCCCACAATACCTAAAGGTCTTGGAAAGAGGGACAGCTTGTGACAAGAAAGTATTTGACATTCAGTAATATCAGCACTTTTTCTTCCTTATAATGATGTATTTCAATAAGTATTGTAAAGCTCATTGGAAATTCAGATACCTACTGCAACACTTGCAGAGTTATTTCAGAAACCAGATTATCACGTATGTTTTGCTTGAATGAGATGTAGAGTATAGACACAGAAGAAACATGGAAGTAATTTCAGCATAAACCTGCCAGCATCAGCCTGCCCAGTAGCCCTCATGAGAATTCATAAATTATGGTTGCTTCAAAACTATTATACAGAACAATAAAAAGCTCCCTGGTATACACAAAACATATTTAACTATAAATGTCAGACAGTGTTCACAGGAGCTTCTTGTTTCTTATATTAGACAATTTACTGCACTCACCTCAACTGACTTACATTTTTCATCATGGAAATGATATGACCTTGGGCAAACATCAAGAAAGTGAGGAGGATCATCAATACATGTTCTTCTAAAATTGTGTTTGAGAACTTCATAATCCAAAGTATCAAAGTTGGTTTTCCATAGTAATACCTATAAGAAATCTTCATATCAGTAATTACTTGAAGGCTATTCAGTGCTCAAAACCTAACTATTCAGTAAATTCTGCTATTACTAGTAGATAACTGCGTCGTAACTGCAATGGTGTCTTAGTCCAATCTCTACTGCAAAACAGGCACTTCCCCGGAGTATTTTTACTTCAAATCTAAAAGATGTGGTTCAATCTATTAAAAAAGTAACCTCTAAACACATCTATAATCACAAAACAAAGCAAACTCCTGTCCCACTGAACTGTCTCAAGTTATTTGTCTGCCAGATTAATTGATCATATACTGCTACATTTCTGCCCCCTATAAAGGTTTGCAGGTCTAACAAGAATGTTTGAAGGAATAAGAGAAATAAGACAGCTCCACAGAACTCTAGAACACCTGGTTCCAATGTTTTAGCAACAGGAATCTCTTTTCTGAACTTTGTCTAGTTATGTTCTAGGTAGAAACCATATATTAAGTCACACAATGACCAAATGCAGAAGGCCATGAGATACAGAGGTAGTCCAGAGGTATTCTATCCAGTCTTATGAATATTCCACATAGGCTACTACTTTCCAAATAAATAGGTATAACTTTGCTCTTTCACATAAAAGGTCTTATGTTTTCCATGACAACAGGTTAATGAAATAAATGGCAATATGCACATACAGCCAGAAACGTGAGGAACGTGACAGACAACACTACACTTTGAGATCTTTTTTTGTTTGAGGAAAGAAGCAAAAAGAAATAAATAAATGTATCCGGTGTTTGTTTCAAATATTTAACCTGCTTCTAAACAATGCTGTCAGCTGGTTCTGCACCAACCAGAAACTTGATACAAAAAGTAGAGATACTGGTTTTCCTTCTTTGATGGAAAGGTATGGAACGGTCTGTTGATTGAAAACTTCTTGAAATAATACATGTATGAAGGAAGCAGTCTTCCATAAACTTAATAGTCAGCTGCCTCCAGCCCATACTGTGAACAGACAATATATTTTGCATACTGCATGAGGGGTAGAAAATTATACTTTTATGGCCAGCCTCTGCTCATAAGCATGACATTGCCAGCAGAACTTTTCCAACAAATACACCCTACAATTACAGTAAACCAAAAATCACAGTGAGTTGAGAAGAAGTCCCACAACCATCCTCCTGGCACACCTGGAAGAACACTGTGCATGGGTCAGCAAAACAGGATATTTGTAAAGTATTAGTGTATACACCAAAAGAAAAAGGACACTAAAGTTCTTATGTTTACTATAGATAAAGATATACACCTTGGTAGTTACCCAACAATGGTTAGCACATTTTAAAACTTAGAAAAGTGAAAGTTGCAGCAAAGTAAGTACTCCTCTCCCACCAAAACTTTCACAAAACAAAGTGAAAATCTTTAACAAACACAGGAAGGCCCATTTTTAAAGTAGTTTAAACAGTTATTAGATCTTCTATGACTACTTTTTAAATTTAGCATTTAACTAAGGAAGTGTTTCCTGATGAAACTTGATCTTCCCTCTCATATATATTCAGTATGAACCCGCTATATCAAACTGCTGAGGAACATGAGACAGATTTTTACCTACTTTCTCCATGCTCTCATGCCCCAGAAGCTTTACAACAGAAAATCAAGGCAGGAAAAAGGCAATGACATGACTGCACTGAACACACATGTCATTCAGGGGACCCCAAATTCAAAGGACTTTGAAGTAAGACAGGCATTCCCAGGGTGTGTTGGCATTCAATGGGTAGGCTGTGTTAGCCTTAATATTGTAAGTCCTTGCCTTCATCAGAGCTTCTCAGATTAATCTTCTGTCATGGGAAGACATGCACTTTTGTTCCTCTCAAGTTAAGTATAATGCACCAACAGTCATAAAACCCAAAATAAAATACTCCTAGAAGGTAAGGTCAACAATTCAGAATCACGTAGGACTAAGTTGCATTTTGGGACTTAAAATCTTATTTCAGTAAGGAAAATCAAAGTTCATACTAGTAGGTCAAGAAATAAATATCTTTCCCCCATTCTTGGTTGGTTTTTGTGGTTTTTTGAGGTTTTTTTCCCTGCTTGTAAAATTAATATTGGATGTTTGATAACATTTTCACTTTTCCAATAACTTTAAGTCTTGGCAGTACTTCTTACTTAACACTTTGTGATAGAAAGCAATTTTTTTTTATTTCCCAAGACCATCCCTGCCCACAAATATGAAATATGGTAAACTCAAAAGATCTTAATTTCAATAGCATAGCTTTTTATATCTACATCGAGCTTTTAGCTTTTTGTAACTGGAAAAAATGAAAAGACAACTAAGGAACATTTCAGACTGAAAATTTAAATCTTGTGCTACAAAATTTATTTCTTTTTGGAAACTTTATAGACCTGATAGAGATGATTCCAAGCTTGATAGTATTTGTTCTTAATTATGAAATTTATTACAGCAGATAGAGATTAATCATAAGATTTACTGTTTAACTTTTTTTAAAATGCTCAAATTACTCCTCTTCCCTTTATAAAATCCAGTACTTTACTGTTTCACCTAAGTAAATTAGTAAAGGTAACACAAGAGGTTTTTTTACCAATTCTAGACAAAGTTTTCCCAGTAATACAACTTAATATCTACAATTACAGAGTAAGGATTTTAAAAGAAGTGGAAACTTAACGAAGCAAGTAGAACTTAATATTAATTGCAACACAACTACTTCATTGACACTGAATTGCAACACTTTAAATATTCCTAATTAAAAATCACTCCTTTATTTTAATATGTAAAATAGAAGTGGCTAGTCTTCTCATCATAACATCCAATGGAAAGTCTATAGAACACGGAAGTAGACAGAATGCATGTGAGTAATTAGCAAGTTATTGTGACATACTATATTTAACTCCCATCCACTATAACAAACATTAAGACATTTCATTTAAGGAGACAATACCACAAACCTGAGCATCTACTCCACCTGAGGCAAAATTTTCACCGCCTTTTGAAAAAGCCACACAAAGTACAGGTCCCTGGAAAAAAAATAACATACAGTAAAATTAGATTATTACTGTAATCATTACATTTTAGTGCAGAGAAAAACACCAATGCCATTACCTAATGTAATAAATTTTTCAATTTTAATGCAATAAGGAACAATTTTACTGTAGTGAAATTTCTGCAAAACTTGATTGAATAGTTAATATTGCACATTTTAGTAAGATGCTACAATACAACTACAACAATCTAGACTAGGAAAATAGTGGCATTATCCTTAGATTTTACATTTCAGCTTTGCAATGAAAAATTACAAAATATATATTACATTCCTCAAGGCAATATGTTTGAATGATTTATTATCAAAAATAGGATTTGTTTGGCATTAACAGGAAAAGGAGGAAATGCCTGCCATTCCTCACAAAAGTAATCTTCTGTAAGCTCCCCCCGCCTTAGAAAACATTGGTTTTCAATAGACAATAGGACTGAAGTACCAAATAACATTATTTTGAAAATCAAGTGAATTATTAATGAATTTAGAACATGAGCTTTTACTTAACAACAAGTGTGTAATATTGCCAGGTAAAAAGCATGGTTACAGGTAAAAACATGCATTTCCTTAACCACTTGTGACAAAGTGCATTAACACAACACCTTGCTGTCCACTAAATATCATCTGCAAGTTGCAAGATAAAAAACGCAATGGCATAAATGTTACTTTCCCTTTGTAAAGATATTGAACAACCTATTAAGATCTCCATTTAAAGAGGATTACTGTGTATACCTTGTGTCCATGAAGAGTATAAATAAGTCTTTCTCCTAAGAGGTCCAGAATCTTAAGAGTACCATCAGAAGAAGCAGTGATGAGGTAGTTACCAGAAGGATGGAATGATACACAATTAACCTCTGCTCTGTGAACTGATTTACAGAAGACAATATTCAAAAGCTGTAGATATCTACTAAGAGGATATGTACACTTTATTTTTTTGCTCTTTTCTACTTCCCAAAGAACTACTTCATTTAAGGGAAAAAACAACAAAAGTGCTGGGGCATAGAAGACTCAGAGTATTTGCTTAGTTCAGTTCTAAAAAATTAAGAGAATCAAAGATATAAAACGGATTCAGACTGGATTCTTGGGGTTGCTACACTATAAAAATATACTTAAAACATATCAATATGACTTGTTTGTCAACTTTTCCCAGTTGAGTTGTGTGTGACTCTTCACCACATTGAATTGCAAAGAGTCCTATTGTAAAGAAAATAAAACAAACTATGTTGTTTTTACCTTTGAAATGCTGCAGTAGCTTGTTCGTTCGAACATCCCAGAGTTTCACTGTGCTATTGGAACCTGCAGAAGCTATACATGTTCCACTTGGGTTGAAATCCACAAAAGTTGGAAATCTAAACATAATTAATGTAAACAGATTTATAATGTGTTTCCACAGAAATATTTAGGTGTGCATATATATATATAAAGCCCACAATATTAACACTGAGCTGCCACAAACTTGTGATGTATCTATAAGTATGGAAACTCAAATAAGGCATTTCAAGTAACTGAAATAAGCATAAGAAAACAAGATGTACATGATAAATCATAATCTCACTCTGGCTGAAAATAGGGTAAAATTGATCCAAGTCAAACCTTCAGAGTTTGTGCTAGAGTACAAAGTTCCTGGAAGATAGTGTTGCAAAGAGTTTATAAGCAACAAATAAAATAATTTTGTCTAACAACTGAGTATCTAGCTGTAACAACACTTTGGATTTGAAAAAGGATGAAGGCAGCCATGAAATCAGCAGAGCACATATACAAATATTCCACTGACTTGTTAACTAAAACTCTAGATCCAAGATGTTTAAGAAAATTGCATGTAAGTAAAAGCAAGTATTTTTTAAACTTAAATAATGCAGGTCACTGAAGGTAACAAAATACTATTTTCATCCACACGTAGAAAAGTCTTAAAGCTTTCTTGTTGAAGCATCCAATATCAAACAGCATTATCAAAATTGAGGGAAAATGTGGAAACATTCCAAAATCTAAGAATAATCTCACTTCTGTTTGGATTATCTCTTGATTGCTGAAAAACAGTTGTATAAGTGCAGCCAGTTAACCTCTTTGGAAAAACATTATATGAATTATTTTACTTGATATGGGTTGTAGAATTCTGTTTTCAGATTTAACATATATAGATATTAATACCACAGAACATTAAACTAATGCCACTAAAATTACATTATTACATTTCTCCTTTTTTTCTAGTAAAACTTACTCTTCATAATCTGAGAATCTATTAACACAAATTTTATTTCTTGTATCCCAGATGTTAATAGATTTGTCCTCACCACAAGATGCTATTATTCTTCCATCAGGTGAAAATCTGGAACACATAAGTGTATACATTACTTAAGAACTGATTCTGCCTATATTAGCATTAGAGACATAAGCAGCAAAACACCAGAACCAAGGAAGCCTGTTTGAAATAAGGATACTTCTAGTATTTCTCATGGACTAATAAAACTGAAAAGAAAAGCTTCTCCCCATGTTCCACTCTGGCCCATTTCACAATCACCTGCAATTAAAAACAGAGCCATAAGCAAGAGGAAGAGAGGGGGTTGGGGAAAGCTATCAGCAACCTAAGGATGTCACTTCAGATGACAAGGAGATTATTATAGAAAACTATAAGTAATAAGACAAAGACAACACAGTAGAATCTTGCGTTCAATGTTAACTTGTATTTATGTTGTCCAAGTTATTTCTACACTTACAAATAGTGGGAAAGCATTCACAATTATTCCTAGACTAGCAGACCAGGTTTTTAAAGAGAAAAATTGACTTAACTTCCTCAATCATTATTATTTCACTTATTGAGCAACTGCACAACGACATTGAAAAACTGTTCAAGAACAGTGAAGAAGAACATGTGATTTCCTAGATCTTTCCTTTTTCTTTTCAAAAATCAGACACTGAAACTTCGTAGGAGCCTGCACTTCACCAGTGTTAAACTCCTTTCTCAAGAGGCTTACATCAGGCCTCTCTTTGCCGCAGATTTTCCACTAATATGAAGGAAATTTTTTTTTAAAAATCAGCAAACAATCTCTTCTTGTCTTTGAAGAGCTGTCCTGTCTTAATAGAGTATGAATCCCAACTTGCAGTCCAAAGGCCATTTCCTTTATCTTTTCCAATTATGTAATTAATCTGGATTCATGACCATTCATTAATGCCTCTACTATTCCAAGAATAGTTGAGAAAAATGCCTACAATGCATGCTAAATCTAGACATAAGTGGTGGGAAATAAGTTAACACGACAAAAAAACCAAACAAAACTGGGGAAAGACAGGATGCTGACTGACATTTGTCCTTTAATGTAGTAGAACGAAGACAGCAACTGATTTAGTATGTACATATATTAACATAAAGCAAGCTTTCATACTTCAGCTAGGTCTACGCAAAACATGTGTGCACAAGATTCATTTATTAAAATTTAATTATTGGTGAAAGATCATTACTTGTCATTCACAGACATTCCTTCTCTTATTTATACTCTGGGATATAAAATTCCCTTTGTCAGGAATTCTACTTTACCAAGAGAATAAAAACAACACTTACTTGGCACAGCGAACCCAACCAGTGTGTTGGAACAGGGTAAACAAAAGGCGCTGATAGCAAACACTCCATACTTTTACTAATTTATCATTGGATGCTGAAACAACATAGCAGCCATCATGGGAGAAGCTCACACTCCGAACAGATGCTGTATGACCTTTCAATACTGATGATTCTCCGTGACTAGGGGGGGAGAAAATGAAACAAAACCTTGAATACCAAGTCACAAATCACAATTATATTAAAGAGCTTAAATCCCCATGAAACTCAATTTTGGCATATTTAGAATCTTACCCAAATGAAAAACCAGTATACAGAGGCCAAATCTTAATGTCACCATTATTTTTTACTTATTTAAATATTATTAGAATAACATTCCTTAAGTTGCGTTTAGCGTGACCAGTTTTACAGAACAGTGCAATTAAGCAGTAGCATTGGCCTTTAGTCTCATTAGCATTAGTATTTGAAAGAGATTTTGTTTAATATAGTAATCTAGAAAACACTTGGAAGTTCAAGTAACATCAGTCTAAGATCATACTGAATAATTCATAATTACTACTACTCAAGAACAGTCTGATAAACCAAGTCAATTAAAATATTTTTTCTCCCAAAAAACCATTGTTTTCATCATTTGTCTCCCCAAAATGAAGCACAGCCTTATTAAAAATACAAATCCTTATTAAAATACAATCTTTAAACCAGAGAAATATTACAAAGAACAGTTCTACACACATGAAATTGTGACCTCCGAGTTGTTATATTTTTCTTTTGAATATTTAGAAAAGAATAAGGTAATACAGTAAAGAACCGTGTTGCTTGTGGTCCCCAACATCTGTTTCTGTAAAAGTCCAGGCATGTGGAAAGGAAAAAGAAACTTGAGTAAAGCCTCCAACATTCACATTGTACAATAATGAAACATATCCAACATTGCTCAGTTATACTCACATGCAAGGAATCCATAGCCTGACAGTGTGATCATGAGAAGCTGAAGCCAGCACCTGCCCATCTGGTGAGAAATCTACACTTGTCACCGCTTCCGCATGGCCTGAAAATCTGTAGGCTCTGCACTGCGTATTCAGCTTCCACAATATAAGAAGAGTATCCACAGAGCAGGTAACTGCAAGTAAAAGACATCAGGAGTCTCCTCACTGCTCTTATGAAAGTCAAAGTAAACGACTATGGATTTGGATTCACCAGAGGACTTAACGGGTATTACAAGGAGGGAGGAGTAATTAGGTTTTAATGGATTCTTCACCTAAGCAGAAGCCTGGTAGCAAGCTATGCTAAGATCAGGCTTTCAGAAGGATGTCACAAGACTGGGAGAAGTGCAATTCTTAGCAGGCAGCTCTCTGACTTGTAAGCCAACTGGCTTACAAGTACTTTGACGATGGAGAGCAAAACATTCAAGCTGAACATCATGCACATCAGTAACTATGAATCCAGATTTGGTTTTACCAAATCCTAAGAACAATAGGCAAATTCTTTAGTAATCTCATTTTGATCTCCGAGATGGAACTTGTTTCAAGTATCCAGTGTTTAACTCCAAAAAAACATGCCAACTTAAACTGAAGACATGACTTCTAACACTTCAGATATCTACACTTGAGTGACAATATCGATATATAATTCCAAATTCCTATTTAAGTACCAATTTTATAACATTTATATTTGTCTAGTTCAAAAGAAAACACAAAGTTGTCATTCTGAAAACACAGTATGTTTGAGGGTGGGTTTTTTGCAGTCACTTTACAGGTGAACAATACTATCTACAGTCAAAAAGGCAAACGGAACTTTCACCAGAGCTTGATCATTTTCAGGAAACTGTAAGAAGCAAAGACAATAAGCAGCTGAATTAAACTGGTACATGTGATTCCTATATCCCTATCATCTTCATCTCTGCTAAATGCTAATATATATTCATAAATCAAAACAAGGTATTCACACTCCCATCCCTCAGTTGTCAAATTCCTAACCCTAGTAGAGAAAAGATGGGAAAAGAACAGGGGCCTCCTGGAAGTTGGAAGTGTACACAAAGATGGCTTTTCTTTTCCCAGTTTCTTTCAAGCACCAACATAGCACAAAGAAATTGAGTTTCCTTATTATCACATGTCCAGGCAAGCATAAAACAAAATATTAGCATATTAGAATATTAAATATTACCTATTAAATTCCCTTTATGAATTTTCTACAAAGATACTGTTTTTATTCCTAAAACACTAGCTTCTGCTAAAAGATGTGAGACCAGACTATCCCTATGCCCATATCAACAGGCTTATATTTGATAAAGAAATACAGGATATTTTCCCCCCACTTCAACTATTCAAAACCCTGTTTTACAGCAGGGTCTTTCTAATTGTACTTGAAAACATTCCTTTTCCCCTTTGATTCTGAAAAGTGATCTACAGTGGAGTAAAACTGAATGGAAAAAGCGAAATATAAGCTAAAATAGAATTTGAAGGCACAGGGTTGGAAATGTGAAACAGACAAGACTGACTGGCTTCTAAAACAAATCATTGATGAACTACAAAATACCTGTGGTATCTTATGAATAAGGGAAATATTCTTAGAAAGATGACAGCACCATTGATGTCAGCCTGGTTTCTTATAGCTTGCTGTCTCATAGATGGACAGTCCGAAGGTAAATGAGACACAAGCAGTGACCTGAGGTTCTCCTTCCTGTGGGACATCTGTGACCATCTTCCTTATTTTCCGTCTGGACTCCCTTCTGCCTATGCAATACTTAAATATTGGATCAGAAACAAAAAAAAGCACAGAAGGTCCAGAAGAAATTTTAGGATGTACCATAACACAAATAGGCCTGTTGCTCCTCAGAGAATACATGACATAACCAGAACCATGTTTGGAGGTGAAAGACAATTTGCCTTTGCTATGATCAACTGAAAAGTATAACTAAAATGTAGAAAGCTGAAAAGTCACACTGAGCTGACTCCAATATACAACTTACTCCAGTTTATAACTTGAGTGCTTTTCTTTTTTAAACATCAACACTTCTGTACACACCCACGTATAGCAGACACATCACTGGACAATTTGCTTTTCTGCTGATGAGTCATTACAGAACTGAACACCAAAAAAAATAAAGACTTGGCCTTATGCAAAGGCCAAGTTGAGAGATCTACAGCAAAGTGGTGTGTAAGCAGATACCTAAGCTTCACATTTGCCATTAAAAAGATTTTACGGTATTTGCAGTGAAACAAAGTTCAATTTATGAATTGTGACTATGGATGGTATACATTTTTATATATACACACGCAAATATATGAACACAAGTTGCTATAATACAGAATTACCATTTCACTCTAATTTCCCACAATAACAAAGTGGTGACTAAGAAGTTGTGCAAAGATCAAAAGAAACAAACTCAGACAAGCTCTAACAGCTCAATGTACATCTCTCAAAATACTGAAGCACCTCCAATATAATTAATCACTCAGTGCAAGAATTATAGGGCAGATGGAATAGAGTGCACATGATGAGTGTGTGAATATTCAAACCCTACCACTGCCAACAAAGCCCCACACTTTACAGGAACCCTGAAGCTCTCAATTATACAGTACAACACCACAATGTAAACACATTTTGCAATGAATTGCAAGATTTCCTATTGGAGAAAAATGATTATTAATTGAACCTCTGTCAAAAAAGCCAATCTGGAATTCTAAGCACAGTGGATAAAATACTAAGAACTTTTAATAACTCCCATAAATTCAAGTTATTGGCAGTTTTTGTTGCATTCTGTATGCATGAACACAAGAGGAAAATAACTGAGAAGAGTCAGCACACTAGCCAACATTTTATTTTCTGGATTTTATTTTTTCAAAAGAAATCCCAAAGCCCTCAACATTTATTCAGTGTTAAGTTTACATTCAATTTCTTTTAAGTCACTTAGAATCAGTAGTTTAAAATATATACAAGCATTCACCAAATCTTCAAAGTCTAACAGAACAGGAAACTATTCAGATTTTCCAGAAATCTGTACCTACTGAAAAATAATTGGATAGGAGTATTGAAATGGTAAGGTATTGTTTGTTTTTTCTTTCTCTAGTCCCTCCTCCTTTTAGTCACATGTATTTTATTCCCATTGGGAAGGTTTTAAAATTTTTTTTCTTTTTTTTTTTTTAAGGCCAGGTCTTTTTTTTTTTTTTTTTTTTTTTTTTGTTCTCCCAAGTTTGTTTCTAAATAACTCCAAAAATAGAAAGGGAAGTCATGGGGAGAAGGAAGAGTTCAGATACATAGAATAACTTTTCAAACTCAGAGGCAGATTAACTTATTGCTTAAATAGATAAGGAACACTTTGAATGTCAGGTTTAACTGGAAGGTATTTCTTTATACAAAAAGCAGTTTTTGCCGAGTGCTAAAAAAGTAACTGTATAAAATTTGCATAGTATTCACATCATTTAATTACTTTCATCTGAAAAAACATGCATTGCACATACTATTTATGATCTGCACTTAAGAGAACCTAGGCCTTTTTCCTGTCATTTCTACTGAACAGCCAACAGAAAGCTTTTCACGAAAGCACATACTTTATATAATTTATTGCCCCAGTACATAACGACTGGCTGCCTTTTAAAATTTGATAAATGGTTCATAACTTGCAGGTATATAAAAGAATTCCTGCTGCGAAGTGGAATGCAATTTTTCAGGAATGCTTCCCTTGTGTAGTAAAAAGTTCCCTTTCTTTTTTTTTTTTTTTAACAAACAAACGAAAAAAAACGACAACAAAAAACCAACTTAGGGGAAAAAGGGAGATAGAAAAGAAAAAAATCAAATTGCAAGTAACTGCCTAAAAATAAATTAAAGTCTGAAAATAATCCAGGCCACACAGTGGCAAGCATTTTTAGCATGATTCAATCCTGCATCCCAAGCTCCAAATTTTCGTCTGTTCATCTTCTATGTTAACCTGCTTCCACCCAAACCTCTCAAAGCTTTCAGATTTAAGAATATGTTATAACTTATTCTTAACTTTATTTTTTGGCAAAACTTCAGCTACATCAGGTCTCACTTGTCTCTTTTCAACCCTTCTACCTACTAACACCTGTAGCAAGTGTACATCCACTACATTCCTCAAGTATCCAGATAACTAATGCTCACTAGCTTAAATTTCTACCTACCAGCCCCATGCAAAGACTTACTACACTATGGATACTGAAGAACATTTATCACTTCAGTGAGAGTAATCAAAACAGCTGGAATGCCCAACACATTAAGAAAAGTGTTCAACTTAAATCTTATGGAAGTAAGATAGAGATACTAATGCAATTTTTTTTTTACAATATATCTAGCACATCTACCATCTATAATCACAATTAAAACAGATTAGTGACATGATTTGAGGATCCACACTCTTCAAAAGCATAACAGATAAAGAAAACATTCTAAATAAGTAATTCTTTGAACCAGCAACAAATCTTAGCTTCCTCCAAGCTCTCCTTTGTTTTTTCAACTCCCCTTATGTCAGAAGCTGCAGCTTCCCAGCCTTATCCAAGGTCTCCAGTGGTATTGTTTTGACCAGAAACAGGCAGCTTATGCTGTATTATTCCAAAACTCTTCTTAGGGTTGACCCATGCCAGCTGTTGTCAAAACACAAAAAGCAAAAAAAACCAGCCCAAATGTTGCTCTATGTTACCTTTCTCTACCCTGCTGACAGACCAAATGGAAAAAAAAATCCCAAACAACAAAAAACCCAACATGGTCTACATCACATAACTTTTGTGTCTCTAAGATGTGGAGCTGAACATGGAAAAGCTTACACAGAGGAAATGTATACATTAAATATATAGCTATGATATAGCAGTAGCTAAGGCAGTTTTGTGGTTCCTTTCCTTCTCCATTGCCTTTAAACAAAATTATTACTTGTAGCCATCCCTATTTCTTCTATTTGTGATATCACCAGCATGTCCTTGGTTCCACTGCTACCGCACTCTCCTCTAAATGCATGAGAGCTCCTGACTAAGCGCCATGGGGTAAGGTTTTTACAATAGGTACAAGACTGCAAAGCAGTACCAAAGCCCTTCTAGTAAATAAACTTCCTATTTTTCTGTATAATATAGTACCCTTGACACCCTGTACATTCCCAGAAAAATGCAGACCATTACAAGGCTTAGATTCAACTTTCCACATCAATGTCCATTCAATTACATGCTACTGTAGCATTACTTAGGGCATTAGATACATGTTTTATAATGTATCTGCAACATAGTCAGCTAATACCACTGCAAGAACCTTAACTTTTACTTCTGTAAGTAAAAATTTTTTGTTTACATGGAACATTATCTCACAGGATTATTGCATAATTTTAAGATGAAAAAAAAAATCCCTCTTCACTCCACTCAGAAGCCTTTGTTTTATAATCAAGACTGAGGAAAGTAATAATGGATCAAAATTTTACAAAAATAAAAGGCATTAGATGTTCTAAACCATGTTTTAGAAACTGAACCCCACTATTTACTTTTGCTTTCCATCATAGTAGACAGCTTCTACATCACTACAGACAGACGTGAAAACATTTCAAGGTATTCAATCAAGTGTTGCTATCTGCTCACATGTGTAAAAAGCTTAGAGATCACAGTCCATCCAATTCAAACTACCACCAGTGATTATTTCTCAAATTTCCAAATCTGATTTTTATCTCCAGCATTACAAGTTCTCATTTGCACATCAGCGTGCCCCTCAGTTGTACGATAAGCAGTAAGGCACTTCCCCGAATGAGGATGATAAATAGTCCCGTCTTCTTTGAAGTGCCAGATAATAATTTCTGGGACAGGAGAGCCATCTTTTGGACAGCTCCTCATACCTATGAAGTCTTCACGCTCAGGGACTTCAGCACATAGCTCAGTTACAGAGTTAAATCTAATCTCCTGATTTGATGTATATTCAAAAAATTGGTTGCCTCCCTGACCATGACAGCCAAAGAGAGAAAGGTGAGACCCGGTAGGATTATGTTCCTGTAAGACATAGTCAAGGCACTCTGAAGGTATTCCTGTGCTGCGGATAGCACCATGCCAGCCAGGACGATCTTCTGGTACATGCAACTCAGCAAATACATTTTTTAAATACCACTGAAAACTCTTGCATTTCAAACGCTCCCTAAGAATCTTTCTTTCAGAAATGTCTCCATAGTTTTCTTTCCTTGCTGAAGGATTTCTGTTGTAAAAGTGATCTTTGAACTCATCCATCCACACCTCAGCAGCACGTGCCGTGTTCTGAAGGAAATTTGGTCTAGCATAGGGTGCACGCTTTGGAAACACATGGCCCACGTGGGAGCATGGATGAATTTCCAACATGCCTCCACACTGCCAAACCCTAAAGGATAATTCTAAGTTCTCCCCTCCCCAAACATCCATTCCTGTATCATAGGTTCCCAGGTACTCAAAATACTTCTTGCTGACAGCAAACAAGCCACCAGCCATAGTTGGGGATCTGATTGGGTCAGTTTCTGACTTGCGCCTGAGACGTTCATGTTTAGGCACTGAGTGCCACTGGAACGTCAGCCGCCAGTCAAACCCCCCAATCATGGGCTCTGCTGTTTGCATGTAGTATTCAAATGTTTTCCAGTCAATGGTGTCAATGACAGGACAAACAATAACAGTCTCATTCTCAGCAATCCTCTCAAGCAGGGGTTCCAGCCAGCCAGAAACACATTCACAGTGACAATCTAGGAATGTGAGAACATCACCGGTAGCAAAGGTAGCGCCAATCAAGCGTGCACGAACCAAACCTTCTCGCTTGTTGGTTCTTATCAAGCGAACTCTTTTCAGACTGCTTATATATTTTTCAAGTTCAGCCTTCAAATACACTTTATCGCTCAGGTCATCCACCAGTATAATTTCTTTCAGAAGCACCGAAGATGATGTTTCAAGAACACTATGTATCGTCCGCAGCAGTGTTGACCAGGCTTCATTGTAGAAAGCAATTATAACAGATGTTGTGGGCAGTCTTCTATAGTTGTAAGATTTAGCTTTACAACCACTCAGTCTATTATCTTCAATGTGCCGGTGGAGGGAAATTTTATCACTTAAATAAATATTTATTGCATACTTCTCAATCAGCTCTTCTTCCTGTTTCTGTTCCTCAGGACTCAGCTGGGGGCGAGAGGGTTTACCCCATTCTCCTGGAGCATAAGGATCAGGTGGGGGTTTGTCATAAACTGGACGAGCCAAATCGACACCTTTTTCTGCTCCATCAGAAAAGCGCCTCTCCCATTTCCCTTTAGTGATGCTCTTGCCGGTGAGGGAGGTACCGAAGGAAGAGACCGACAGCTCGACCACAAAGTAAGCGATCATTAAGAAGCCGAGGAACACGCAGCTTTTGCGGATCCACGTCCATCTTCTCGCCAGACGAATCCTCATCTTAGATAGTTAAAAGTAGCTCCTCAGCAGAGAGGGGTCCGCGAACTCCTGCCGGCTCTCCCCGCGCCCCCGGGAAGGATGGGGCTGCAGGCACTCCCAGCCTCGGGCTCGGGACGCCGGCAGAGTTTGCAGCCAGCCCTCCGTGGTGGGCCCGGTAGATTCCAGGGGGACCGCGGGGGAGAGGGGCAGCAGCGGAGGCACGGAGCACCCCTGCCCCTCCGGCCTCGGCGCTCCCCTCACTTACTTCCTCCTCCTCCTCCTCTCTCTCCGCGGGACAAACCCCTCCTCCAGCCTTGTGGTTTGCTCAAAAAGTTGTCGCTTAAGGAAGGGGAAGAGTCTCCTTAGCCCGCCCGAAGGCGCGGGAGCCTGCCCCGCCTCCGCGCCCGGACCTGTGCCCGGAACCGCCCGGCGGCTCCGGGGAGGGAAAGTGGGAGGAGGGAGCGGACTGCCCCGCCCGGAAAGCAAACGGCGCCCGGCCCCGCACTCACCCATCCCTGCCGCGTTCGCGTTGAAGGCGACGCCCGTCACCGCCGCCGTGTGGCCGCGGAAAGGCCGGATCAGGACGGGGTCCTCCTGGGGAGAGGGTGCGCACCGTCAGGCTGCGGGCGGGGGCGGCCGCGCTGGCCCTCCCCGCCCCTGGCGGCTGCTAACGCCCCGCGCGCGGCGGGAGCCGCCGCTGCCGGCGTCCGGAGCGTTCCCACAGGCGGCGGCCGCGGCCGGGCAGCCCCCGGCACCAGGAGATGCCCGCCGGCCGCGGCTCGCCTGCCCGCCGTCCTGGCTGCCGCAGCCGTCGCCGGGGGCCGGGGCCGAGCCCTTACCAGCGGGGAGGCCATGGGCGGAGCGTGGGGGAGCGGCCCGTGAGAGCCCCGCGCTCCGGGCGCGGCCTGCCGAGCACCGGATTCATCCGCCGCGCCAAGAGCGCGGAGCCCCGTCCGCCCATGCGCGGCCGCGCTGCGCGGGGCGGGGCCGCACCGCGGGCCGGTGCGCGGGGCGCCCTTAAAGCCGCAGCGCCCCGCCTGCCCCGCTCCGGGGGCTGTAGCGGGGCGGCTCCCGCGGCCGGGACGGGGAAGTTAAGCCCTCCGAATCTGCCTGGTGGTCGGGACACGGTGCCCTAGGGGTTGCGGGGGGCTGAGCTCTCAGTGTGGGGCACGGTTCGGCGGAGCCGCAGACACTGGTAGAATGCTCGGCTAGCGGAAAGTCTGGCCCATGTTACCTCGATTTTATGACTTACAAATTCATGTAGGGCAGCTGTGATTAAAGCCTCAGACTGATTTTATATTAAGCTAATTTAGGTAATTTGGCCTCATGTCTTCTTTTTCTTCAGTTGTTTCCTATTTTGGTCGGACTCTCTAGGTTTCTAAATTGACACTCACATCTGTATCATACAGAGTGCTCTTTTAACAGACCTTTAATGCTGTAACAAACTGCACCTACCTTAAACAAAAATTAAGAAAGCCTATTGCTGCAATAACACCAAATTGTTGGTGGTAGTAGTGCTGTGAATGTTTATGCAGCTTCATGGAAAGCTAGACGAGGGAACCAACCTGTCCGGAAAAGTACCGCTCCCATAGCTTCGCCAGTAAAAACAGGGTTGACAGCAATTAGCAGCAAGAATGGCTGTGATGTCAAACCTGTCATTCGATACATGAGTGTTCCTGAAGAAGTAACTTATACTGCAATTACCCTTCCTTTCTGTTTTAAATCCAGTCTGCCTTTTACTAGTTGTTCTGACATTAAATTTTTACATCTACAGAATCAGGTCAGTAATTAGGCCAGCATATAGGAATTGTCACTTATAGGACAGTTCCAAATAAATTGTGTTTAACCATGAAAGACACAATTAAAATAATAACTTTGGAAGTGGTGAAAAAGTAGGATTATCTCAAGTATATAAGGCAGTTTGATGAAAATCTACTAGCAGTCCTTACACTGAGATTATGTAGGCTGATAATTTCCTGGTTTGACTTCACAATATGAACCCTTTTCAAAAATATAAGTGGTGGGACAAGACACATTGACTTTAACTTGGACCTAGCAAAAGCTACGGCTTTTTTTGCCATTATTTCGTTTTGGTTTGGCTTATTGGAGGAGTTTTGCTTTAGTGTTTTGGTTTGGGTTTTTTTTCCTTCTACACAGCTCATCCTCCCATCCTTTTCTTTTAGTCCTTCTGATTTAGATAACAAAATAAAATGTAGCATTGAAAAAAGTTGGTAATGATAAGACTTTAATGTTCTGCACTCTACCCCACTGCAGAAGCAGTAAGTTAACTAGTTAAACTTAAATTGACCTATTCACCATTATTAAAGTCTTCCAGCCTTTTTCACCTTTTTTCCCAACTATCTTCTTTCTGCCAGGTTTATTTCAGCTGTGAATGGTGTGTCTCATCAGGGAGACACCATTTACATTCTATCCCTCTGGTCTGCTACCAAATTTTGTGTGATATTTATTTCTTCTGCATCTTCTCATCTCCTGAATGGAAGAAAGTACCATCTTTGCTGCTTTAACTGTGTGCTGCATTTTTTTGGTATTTCTTGTACATTGTGTTTTCAGGTTTGGATGTGTTCCGGGAGTTGCTTAAAACCCGGTGGTCAGAAACATGTTCCTTTTTTTAGAAACTTAGCTGAATGACAATTCCCAGTCCTACTGAATCCTTTTCCCTTTGCCTTCTTTATAGCAGGTCAGGATATTTTACTAATTTTGGTATGCTAGCAATTAACTGGAATCTCTACCTGCCCACAAAATCCTGGAGTATAAATTGCCAGGTGATAGGCATAAAGCAAAGGCTGTGATTTTGGAGAGAAGGAGAGTGGCATCCCTCTTTCTACAAATTGATAGATGTGTGTTTCTCAAATTGTAGGGCTTATGAAGTTAATCTGTTTCTTGCTGTTTCTCCTCACCTGAGAGTGCTTTGAGGACTCCCAAATGCTCATAGGAAGCAAAGTATTCCTTTACTGCAGACATGTAATTAGCTATAGTGACTGTAGTTACAAAGCTGGCAGGTAATAGTTTTTATGATGATTATGTTCCCTCATTAGTATGTATAGATTTTACTTTTAAAATTATTTTAAGATTATCATACTCTCCTAATACCACAATTATGAGTTGGCATTGTCTTTTTAAGGTTGTGATATGCAAGAGCAATTTACTGTAATAAGTTGTTGTGCACTGTGATGACAATGATAAATGATGCCTCAGAAAATATGTTTCAAGCATCATGTGTCAGCAGGCTGCTGTTTCTGCATTTATGGAGTTGGTTTTTTCTCAGGCACTGCATTAAGATAGTATATGTACAAACAAAAATTGTATCTAGAGAAGAACACTTTACGATGGTAATTCCAGACTTGTGCTGACTGCATGGTCACTGCAGGAAAAGAATTAGTAAAAGATGTGTAGAATTCAAGGACACATGGGCAGACATGATAACCTCAATGCATGAATGCTGCAATGCACACATTAATTACACTAAACACATATGGTTTTATAATAATAATTGATGTAAAACAATACATAAGCATAAGGGGCAAATATACTAGCAATATAGTAGCCCACCAAAAATTCTTTCATGTCTAAAATGAGGTATTTTATCTTAGTGTTAATCCTACTTTAAAATAAAAGTATGAACCCCAATGGTAATTATGTGGGATCCTATTGGGAGCAGCTGTGTTGCAGCAGAGCAGTCCAGGCTGCCGAGAGGCCTCAGGAGGTCGTACTCTGTCACTAGAGGGGAGTGTGAGATCTGCTTTGCCAGCGTGGTGTTACTCCACCACGCCGGTATTCATCACTTATATGCCAGAAGAGAACGTAGTCCAAGGGCACAAAGATTTAATTGAAGGATGTCTTTGCTGTCGTAGAACTATTATACCTTATGATCTTTCCAACATCTGAGCCTACATTTTTTTCTGCTCCATCAAAATGTTTGTGAAAATAAAATAAATATTAATTCTATGAGATAACTTGTGGAGTTGTGTTGGTTTTTTGTCTCTGTTGAAATTTTCTTATAAAAATCCCATTAGAGTCTGTTTGCCAACAGCAGCAAGAGAAGGGGAAAGAAAATAATATCAAGTAGGTACATTGCAATTTGAAATACAAAGACGATTTGGAATACATATGATGTTACTTTTAGTCTAAGAAACATCCTGGGGTTCTGAGGGAATTGGCAATTCCAACAGCAGAGCCATGTCTCCATGATATTTGAAAAGTTGATAACTGGACTGTGACTACCGTTCAGTGACTACAGTGACACTGACTACCTGTAACTATCTCAGGCACTCAGGAGGGAATGGATTATCATACCCAGAACCTGGGAACTGCTGACCAGTCAGCCTCACCTTTGTGCCCAACAAGATCATGGAGTAGATCCTGCTGGAAGTTATGTCAAAGCATATGAGGGGTGATTGTATGAAGGTGGTTAGAGACAGCTGACACAGCTTTGCCAAGAGCAAATCATGCCCAACTAACCTAGTGGCTGGCTATGATGGAGTGACTGCATCAGGGGACAAAGGAAAGGTAAGTGATGTCACTTCTGTGAAGCCTTTGATACTGTCCCTTCCAATGCTTTTGCCTCTAAATTGTTTTGGATTTGGTGGATGGGCTGTTAAATGGCAAGGAATTGTATGACTGCAACCAAAGAGAGCTGAGTGGTATCCTCCCAGGCGTCTGTTTTGGGGCCTATAGTATATAATATATTAATGACATAGATGGTGGGATTGAGTGCACCTTCAGGAAGTTCATGGGTGACACCAAGCTGAGTGGTTCAGTTGAATCAGGGGAAGGGATGCCATCCAGAGGACCTTAATAGGTGTGAGAAATTGGCATGTACAAACATCATGAAGTTTAAAATTGTTCTGCACCTGGCTTGAGGCAATGCCCAGTATCAATATACACTGAGTGAATGAATGGATTGAAAGCAGTGGAGAAGGTACTGGGAATAACAATTAATGAGTAGCTGGACATCACCCAGCAATGTGTACTTCCAGCCCAGAAAGACAAATGTATCCTGGGCTGCATCAAAGGTAACATGACTACTGGATTGAGTGGGGTGATTCTCTCCCTCTGCTCTGCTCTCATGAGATCCCTCCTGGAGTTGTGTGTCTAACTCTAGGATACCCTACATAAGGAGGATATGGACCTGTTGGAGCAGGTCCAGAGGAGGGCCACAAAAATGATGAGTATTGAAGTAGATAGATGTTTGAGATTTTTCTTTTTTCACTGTAGGGAATGTATTTTTACAGAAGGATAAATAAGAGAATTTATCTCTTAATACTGATGCCTGAAGGGAAACACGTGTGAAAGAAAACTGCATAATTCAAGACCAGCACTTTAAAACAAATAACCATCTGGATTAGAAGCTGAGAGTGACAATTAACTCTGTCAAAGAACCTAAAGTCATTAAAATTTGTATAAAAGTGGGTGTGTTATCCAAAGGTCCTTTTTTGTTTTTTTCCTTTTAATTAGATACTTTTGTGTAAAAGATACATATCTTCATAATGACTATGGGGATTAAATCCCTTAATGTTCCTCCCTTAGTACGCAAACAGCGCAATAAAAATACTGACAGAGTAATATGCAGCATGTGTTGAGCTGCATTTAAGTCTTTTAGTGTTACCTTAAATGCCAGGCTATAACTCTTGCTCTCTATAATATGTGTGCATTATTTGAATCTCAGAAAGTTTGCAGTCACTAATTGTTTTTGGATAATTGAACAGGTTTTACTATGAAATGTTCTGGGATAATCCTATTATGGTGTTTTATATCAGTAGCATTGCTATGTGGATGGATACCCATATGCAATTCCAAATTTAAAGAACATCTTCCTTTTTTTCCCCCTAATGTTTTAATGGATGATCAATACCAGTAAGGTTTCCTGTGTTGCCAGTAACATAGGTATGTCAGTAAATATATTTTTATTTCAATGCACTTTCATCCAGCTTTTCTAAAAATAGGTAAAGCATGTTTTTTTT